AAAAGAAAGATATCTTGACTAAAGGTAATGTAACAGCAATTTCTATGGTTGAAAAAGTTTGTAGATTGGGAAAATTTTATGAATACAGGTCATCAGACAATGACTGTCGTTTCTGCATTATAGAATTTAGGGACTCTTAGTTATTTTTTTGCAAAAAGTTTTTGATGTTGGTGATTGGAACTTTGGATAAGACCCGCACAGAATAGGTTACATAAGCAAGAAGTAAAAGCAGCAGAAGTAAAATTGGTCTGTTTGTAATTTGCTACCCAAGTAAGGGAAAAGCAAATGTGGAATGGAACCAAAATTTGACATAGAAGTCAACAAATATTACTTGACAAAAAAAGTCTAATTACACTTGTTTTGGTGCGGCAGAACATCGATCTGGTGATGACTTATGGTTTCAAGTTTTCCTAATGTCCATTTTTTTGCAAAACTGTTTGTATCCTTTATATATATTTAAGATTATTGCACAGTATTAGCAAGATACTTTCAATTACGTTTTACCCTACAGCCTGTTTTGTTAGGTTACGATGAGAAAGACAACGTAACTCCTACATATCAGTGGACATTTTCTGGTGCTCTATTATTTTCTATTACAGTTTTCACTACAATCGGTAAAACTTTATCATTTACAATAATATTTCCTTGCTTAAACTTTTAGTATTGTCGTCGTCTTTAGTTTATTTCATGGCTAAACAGGTTTTGAAGCATCTTTAATTTTATTGTAATTTACACACAGGATAGTGATAAATTTTGCTATGTAATAGTTTTATGACAGTGTTACCTTTTGATTGGTACAAAAAATGTGCAGTTAGTGATTTGATTGGCACAAAAAATGTTTATCTATTGACTGAAAATCCTGAACAGTTTTTTTTTTTTTTTGTGGATAAAGGAACGATATCAATATGAATAGTGATATTATCTGGGTATAAAGTTGCAAAAAAAAAAATCTTTAAGTGACACAGAAAGTATAGCGATACTTTTTTTTTTAGGTGGTCAATAGCAGATGATACAAAAAAACAAAATTTTTTTTTTTTTTGCTTAGGGTTTTTGTACTTTTATTAAGCAAAAATTATAGACAACATACTTAGTCGTATTGTAAGATTGATTGATTAATAATAGTTATGGCTAAAAAGAAATACTGTTTTGTTTTATTTTGCTGAAGAAATCGTGTAATTTTGATAAGTGTGTAGTGCTTAATGAAACATTTGGCTAAACTTTGTATTACTCTTTTTTTTTTTGATTTGATTTGATTTAAAAAGTTTATAGCAATTATTTTTTGATTTTTATATTTCTGTTTATTTTAGGGTATGGCCATATTTGCCCAAAAACCCCGTTAGGCAGAGGCATGACCATTGTTTATGCAACTGTCGGTATACCTCTTATGTTACTTTGTTTAGCAAATATTGCCGAGACTCTTGCTCAAGTTAGCTATTTTTTCATTTTACATTCTATACTACCGTTTATTTTAACTAAATCTTTTTTGCCAAAAAATTATCCTTATCGTGTGATCAAACAAACAATTTATAACTGATATTAATCTTGCAAAATATTAGAAGCTTTTTTTTTTTTTTTT